ACAGTCTGACCCAACATGAAGAGAATTTTATGGTTTTATTAAGTGGAACTCGGAGGACAGGTTAGACAGAGTGCAGCCAGATGAAACAACATGCCAGTGAACCCTTATTAGCCAAGCTCTATGCACCTAGCTTAGCTATTAGCATGCTAACCCGCGAACTAGCTAGATTTTGACCTTATAGCAAATGCTCATTATGGCAACCTTCTACACAAGGGACAGTTATTCAAACCCCAGACACACGTTAATGCAATAATCTGGAGACGTGTGTGGTTTCCTGCTTTACTCTGTCGAGCTCTGAACACATGGACGGATGAATGAACTCGCTGGAGCTGCAGTTAATAGCAACCGGCTTCAAGTTCAGCCGAAGGCCCGAAAAATACTCTCAAAGATACAACAGATGAAACGACACCAAACCGACTCGTGTTAAATTACTCACCAGTGCAGGCGTGGAGACGAATTTCGCACAGGCGTACATGGTGGGATTTAAGTTTTTTTTTTTATCCTATTTGGGTTACAGCAACTGGAGACTGTCTGTAAGGCAAAATGGGGTAAGGTCAATACCAATTTTATACTTTTATAAAAAAAAAAATAAAACGGCTTAAAATCACATATGATATTACTAACAACTGCTTAAGTAATAAAACTGAGTAAGAGAAGCTGTAGAACAAGGATGAAGCAGGATTGACTTTTTTCCACACTAGCCTGCAGAATCTCCGATACTCACCGAAGACAGAGGTCGAAACACCCGAAGCACTGCGCATGCGCACGAGTGGCTCTCCGAAATGTCCCGGATGAACACGTGACGTCACGGAAGGTCGTTTCTTACAAACTTTATTGAAATGGGACATAGAACAAAAATGTTTCTTTTTTTTAAATATATATAAACATCAACACTATAAACAACAACAGCAAAAAAAAATACTTGATTGTTTGGGTACGTTATTGTTAATCTTCGTTACCAGTTCATTATTAGACTTTTTTTGGTTGACTTTATCACTTTCCATTAATGAATGAATGAATGAATGAATGAATGGTTTGGGGCAGTAGGTAGTGTTGGTGCCTTACAGCTCAAGAAAATTACGTCAATCTTCAGATTCAGGTGCACAGGACTGACGACTCTAAATGTTTGAATGAGTGTGTGAGATGCTCTGTGAATTAATAAATCTTGAGGTTGGTGCTATAGCAGTCCTGAGCTTTGGTTACTGTCTGTTTGGACTTTGGCTTGTTCTCTCCATTTATGAACTTGGCCGATGCTTTAAGTCAAAGCAAATTATGATTGAGAGGCAGTACAATCTTGGTGATTTGTATATTCCAAAAATCTGTTATTTGTTCAACTGATCATGATAAAATGTTTGGTCTGACTGGATAGCAGTTGCCAAAACACCAAGCTGGTCCAGGTGGACCATCTTAGCCAACTTGTAGGTTGTGATAAACCGTTTCTGAACTGTTGCTACTCACAGAATATTGTAGTTATTTTAAGAAAAGAATGCAACAGACAGAGTCAGTTAGAAAATGTAAAATGCTTATCAGTCCCTCCAGTCCCTTTTGCGATTGTAGAAATGAATGCAAAATCAAGGAAACTCCGCAATATTCACAGGAGCTTGCAATTATTCTACATTTCCGCAGATTTGGGCCCAGACGTGACATGTGACATGATCACACATGCCATGTGACGTTAAAGCAATGAGCATTCAGCCAAAGCCCTCTTTGATTCATTTGCATTGAACATTAGTACAGCTAAAAGGTCTGATTTGGCAACAAACATCACTGCAAAAGATTTCACCATTTCAAGCAGTTTTTTGCAAAATAAGGAAGTTGGAAAGTTCGACCAGCTCGACCTATGTTTTAGCAACTGGTAGGCCTATATGAGGCAGAATTTTCAGCAGGGTCAATAATTGAATGTTTGATGTCCTATGGTAGGCCATCATCCACTCCAGGGTCTATTCCCTCTTTGTAACCAGTATCCTGGCTCCACCTCCACCCTTGCCACAATAACAAAAGTAACTGAAAATGAATAAATAAGGAGTAAATCGTTTTTACTCTAGAGAGTTTAGAACTGTGATATACCACATAACCGGTCTTTTGGCTCTTCAGCAGTAGTATCTGTGCAGGTGTGGGTGATGAATGGCTAACGGTAACCGAGCCACTGGTTAGAGGGCTGGCGAGTCCTCAGTGTGTTCTGCTGCTGCGTCAGTGATAGAATCCCTCAATGCTTCTACAAGTGAAATCTCTCCAGTTGAAGAGGGAATAAAGGCATTGCCTTCCTTAATCACTTGCCTCGGTGCAAGATTACCTAGCAGTGATTTGAACTAGTAAGCATCTGAAATGATCTGAACTGGCCATTCATCATATATCTTCTGCAGTGGATAGCATTTGTTGAACTAAGGAACACAGAACCTCCATCTTGCCTCCCCAATTCTTACCTCAGATCACAACTCTGAATGGACTACTCATACAATTCATACTGAGTTCATGAATCACATCATGTTAATTTAAATAGGCATTGCAACCTTATAAGTACAGTAGTTTGATTAAATCCATTGAGCAACAGGAAGCAAATACAGTAATGTCATTTAAAGAGTCTATTGTTTACTATCTGGCCTCATTAACAGCGTCATGCCTGTAGTGACTAAAACAGAGCAGCCATTTTATTTTGTTACAAGATTTCAGAATGTAAAAGACTAATGGTGTTTTACTTCTTCGCTGGTCAAACTTGAAGAGATGAGAGATGATCCTTGAGCTCCTTGACCACCAGAGGGGGTCAAAGAGTTTAATGTGCCAACTGCTTATGAGTTCTCTGTACATTCTCTTCGTGTACAGGGCATTTTTATAGCTTGCTTCACAAGCACAGCATCCATCACCTGCCCCTTCCATGTCAACACATAATAATAATCATAATAATAATAATAACAACAACTATAAATTTTTACAAGTCTCAAATCATTATTTTACATCCTGCCTTTTATTTTAAGTTTCCATAAAGGTTCAACACATTCCCAAATGTAGTGCCACCTGTCAAGATGATCTAGGTTACCTGCATTGGTTCAGCATGTATGTGAATGTTTAATTAATAGGGCTGGTAGAGATCAAATCAGCTCTTGAGAAGCAGGCATATCCAGGCGCCTTTTCCCAGGTTCACACTTTTTCCCAGGTACACCCCCCAGCTCCTGAGTGAACATCTTGAGACATTGCATTTGCATGCGGCCCCCATCAAGCTGCATGCACTCAGACTGGTAATAAAAGGCATTGACCCCCTTAACCTTTATGAATTACAATTTGTGCCAGCAACACATCCTGTCAGAAGAGTGGGCACCCACGGTGCTGTGCGTGCATGTGTGTGTGTGATGTGTGTGTGTGTGTGTGTGTGTGTATGTGTGAGCGAGAAAGAGAGTTAAGGAAAGAGCATTGGTGTGTGTATGTGTGTGCTGTGCAGTTGTTAGAAAAAGAGGAAAAGGTTTTTACAGGCACTGGCGGACACTGTTGACAAGCTGTGAATAGGCGTTCTGCATTCTGACAGCACGGCCAGGAGTGAGGCTACAGCAATTCTGAAGCCCCCATATGCAGCATGAACACACGCACGCACACACACACACACACACACACACACACACACACACACACACACACACACACTCTTTAACCATATACACAGGGCAATGTTCATTTTCAGTTACCACCATTAAAACTCATTATATCCATTTTAATACTGGTAATCTCAGACTTCCTGGTATATTAATATTAGGATTGCCATAACAAATTTCACTGTTTAAATATTACATATTTAATAGAAAAAAATTCAACATACATTAAAGATCCGATGTTCTAGTCCCCTAAGGTAACTATTTTGAAATATGTTTCCTAAGTGAAGCTTGTGGATTGACATAAGAAATGGGGTCTGAATAAATGCACGTAACCTATGGCATATATCAAAAATAAATTTAAATTATATATACGTATATAAACCAAACACGTGTCCCAAGGGTGATGGTAGAAGTAGATCTCCAAAAGGCACATTTTCAATCATCTATTTTCTGTTGTGAAATGACATTCTATTGTGAAAATAGTGCACTATATCCGTTCTGTAACACTTTTACCTTATAATGTGTAGTAAAATGCATCTATAGTTAATGCTACTTGGGATTCAGTTATGTGATGTAAAGGACTTGATGAATATTACTGATTAAAGACAGGGATATTTTGGTGGATATTTCATCATCATCATCATTAGGTCAATCATCAATATTTCCTCCTTGTGATTTTTGTTGTTTCAGAAAGTAACCCAGTTTTCACTTTCTGTGGTGTATGCAATACAAATACACAGAGTAAGGCTCCAGTTACTCTGTCTGTGGCAGTATAAAATGATAGACTCATAAATATTTGAATCTTCATTAATATTTGAATGCATTTAAATGCTTAAGTTTATAACTAAGAACAAATTGAAAGCAGTTGTAAAGTTATTTGAAATTCCTTATATGTTACATTTTCTATGATTGCATTTTAACATAAACAAACAATTTATTCCTCTGTTGACTTAACATTTTGTAATAGATAAGATGAGATTTTGAAATATGCAGCTATGTTTCATCAGTGTGCATAAGGGCAGCTTTTATGAAACCCAACAGGCTCTGTTCCTCGGCTTTTGACTTCTAGAGACTTAATAGTTGTGTGTTGCTGCTTTGTGGGCATTCAGATATTTAAAAGTCATTAGTATTCACAGCACTGATTTTCTGGACTGATCTATAAAAACCCTGATGTGTGCTTTCTCTAAGAGAGACTTGAGAAATGCTGAGATGAGCAGAATTATGTTAATTCCCACTTTTCACTAAAACAGGGCTCTGTAAAAGAGTACTACACATGTATGTGCCCAACTTTACTGACGGTGTATGATAAATAATCTATGTAGTATTATAATCTGTGTATGATAATGATAGTGCCCAATAAACTGTTAAAAATGTTCTAGGAAGTAAAAAATAATCTTCCATCAATATACATGAAAATAGGGCAGTGGTAGATTAGTTGTTAAGAGATTGGACTGCTGCTTGGAAGGTCGTGAGTTCAAATCCCAGCACTGCCAAGCTACCACTACTGGGCTCTCAAGACAAACCCTTAACCCTCAACTGCTCAGTTAAAACATTAGATAAATGTAAGTCACTCTGGATGAGAGCACCTGCCAAATGCCATAAATGTAAAAACGTAAATCAGAAAAGCCCCCATGCCTTTGAGCCATGCTAAAAATATCTAAATATCATTAACATTGGCTAAATTAGCTAGTTCACTGCTAGTAAGCTACCCTGCATTTGTCAGCTAGCTTAGCATTCATGTTGTGTTTTGTCTCCAGGTTCCACATAATTCTTTGTTCATTTGTACATGACACTTAATGTGTCCTGAATCAGTTTTAAACAATAAGTTAAATGGAATAAATGACCCATATTTCGAATATATATATATATATATATATATATATATATATATATATCTCACAGTGTCCTCCTCTAATATTGGCACCCATGGTAAGTATGAGCAAAGAAGGCTGTAAAAAATTTCTTTATTGTTTAACCTTTTGATCTTTTGTTCAAAGAATTAACCAAAATTCTCTGCTTTCATGGATATCAAACAATTGCAAACAAAAACAGGTTTAGCAAAAAAAAAAATCTTTGTTAAATATAGGTGTGCAACAATTATTGGCACTCTTACTTAATGGCTACCTACCTTTGCCAAGATGCCAAGTCTTCTCCTATAATGCCTGATGAGGTTGGAGAATACATGGCAAGGAATCTGTGACCATTCTTCCATACAGAATCTCTCCAGATCCTACAAATTTCCAGGTCCATGCTGGTGGACTCTTCTCTTTAGTTCACCTCATTCATATATATATATATGTATATATATATATATATATATATATATATATATATATATATATATATATATATATATATATATATATATATATATATATATATATATATATATATAAATATATGATATTATTCTAATTTTTTACATATTATTTTTTTACATATATGCAAATTAGTGGTTTGTGGACCTCATAATGGATTTTACTGGCCTTTCTAATAATTATCAAATAATTTGATATTCAGTAATATTCTTTTCTATCTGCATGTTGCTAAAAGTGATGTTGGGAATCAAAATACTATTATAAAATACGTATGTGCTGTAGTTACTTTACATTCTTTAAATGAATGTTGACACAGCATTTTGTTATGTTTCGGCAATTATCCAGCATTTGGTAAGTCCAGTCCCAGGAAGAGTGGCAAAGCAGTAAAACTACACCATACTGCCAGTAGCCTACAGCAGTGAACATACGTCCTACTGATGTATGTTTACGACAAAATAATGAAATGGGGCCAAAAGGTCATATTCACAGATTGTGCTTGGATGCACTCCACATACATTTCACTGCAAAAAGAAGTGAGCTGTGGAATGCTTACATCTTCATTTGCCTGCAACAGACATTATTCCCAATAAGGAGCAAATACAGTGTGCAGCGCACCTGCAAAACCTTCTACTGCCTGTACATTAATGTGTTTATGTATTCCCTTAATGCAAAACAATTATACATCAATGCAATCTGCCTGAGTAAAGTGGGTTATTGCCGACAGACACTTCAGTCATTGTCTAAATGAGTCTTCACACCTCTATGTCTGGGGGTGGGGAGTGCAGAAGGAGAGTATTCTCGCATATCGACATAAACCAGCCCCTCAGGAGCTATAAAATGTCTTTAACTGCAAACTAGAAATACTCAGGCATAATAATAGCCACATCACAAAGTGAATCATCAAGCCAATCTATATGATACATCCATTAAATTTCAGCTCATAGAGTAGATGTAGAGAGAAAACAATCCAAACATTTGAGATGTCACCTGGCAATCATGTGTGTATATGTATAGAACCAAGTGGTATAATTAGCTAAAACATAATAATAATAATAATAAAATGCTGTCTATATTTTTTTCTATTTGGTATAAGTTGAATCAAATGGGTTGCAAGGTTCAAAGCAAACACCAGCATATGACTTGGCTCTCATGAAAAAAAATGCTGCGGTCTACCTCTTTTTCTCAGTTTTTCTGCATTTCTGCTCAGCATCAAGAATGGCAGTTTTGTGGCAGTCTTCATAAGTGTGTCTGAAAGCCTGGAGGCAGTAGTGTACGGGTGCAAGAGCATAGATGACGGGGGTAGCAGAGCGATGATTGGTTTACAGATGTGCGCTTCCTCTCTTGTCTCCAAGGTCAGCTGGATTTACACTCTCATAGTCATGCTTATAGCTGTTTAATCTCCGCCTGTGCAAGCTGATTAAAATGCTTCCATAATGGACGACGTCTGACCTTTCTGTTCTTCACTTCGGGGCACATGAACACATCAACACTTGACATGCACATGTTCACGCAGACAGACGTGCACACACATACACGTGTATACCCACATAACCCCCATCACACACATTCAGACATGTTTTCAAAGACATCTGTGGAAATGAAAGAGACAGCCAGGATGTGTAATAGGAATGTTTAGTAAAGCAGCACTGCACATGGTAGTATGCAGGATGGTGGTCTGTCTATCTCCATATTTTGAAGTCTCTCAAACATATAGCAAGATTTAAACAGAATACATCACATATGGTACCTATATTGCTATACTTTCTGAACTCAAGCAGTATTCGTTGCTTCTTAAAAAGCAGCAGAACCAACCTCAGAGTGAGGAGATTACCTGTTTATGGGTACTAGGGGCTCGTTTGAAAGATCAGGTGTCATTAATGTGCAGCCATAGTAATGTCCCTGCTAGGCTGTCCTGATTTTATTAGCCTGATCACATGTCAAAGGAGAGTAGTGAAAGGAGAGGGGGGAAAGAAAGAGAGAGAGAGAGAGAGAGAGAGAGAGAGAGAGAGTGAGAGACAGAGAGAGAGAGAGACTGTGCTGCAGGCCAGGAGCTTTAGGATGTCAGTAGCAGATGCCCAACTCAGCGAGTTCCGGAATGCTCAATTAGTCGGTTTTATAGGCTCCATTAATACACATTAATTTTCTCTCCCCAGATATGAGCCAGCTGAATGGAGCCAGGCTGCTCTGCATAACACTGCAAAAGACTGGTCTCTCTGAGTGGATGTGTACCAAGCTGATACTGAGTATTGGTACTGCACCCAACAGTGACCTCAAATGTAGAATCAGATACCGGTATCAGATCAGATCTGAAATATTTTCCTATTCCATCCACTGATGTATGCAAGAGTGAAAACTATTTATAGCCTATGAATTCTGTGTGAGCTTCTGTTGGGTCTGAGGATGCAGAAAAAGGCCATTGTAGCCCTACTGCAGTAAAGGACCTATACACATATATAATGTGTGTGTGTATATATATATATGTGTGTGTGTGTGTGTGTGTGTATATATATATATATATATATATATATATATAAAAATTATAATATAATATAATTTTCCTAAACAGAAGCTTGAAGAGAGTCAGCTCAGTCACTAAAGCATACTGGTATTGTATCAGCTGGAGCTCTCATATCAGTAATTTGAAAACGGACAAAGTTGAAATGGTGCACCCCTAAACACACAAGAACTCACAAAAAAATAAGAGTAATAAACAAAAATTGTATTACTAATATCCAACACATTTTAAAGGAAATATTATGTAAATATATGTAAATCAATTTAGAGAGCATGCCTATTTGATTCTGTGATTTAAAACAATCAAGTGAATATGGAGACCCCTATAAAGCATTAATGAATCTAATCAGAACGACCTAGTCTAAGTCATTTATCTATTGCTCATCTAAGTGCTATTATCCTGAAATGAAGTGAGTGGCGACCTTGACAGGCTCATAAACAAATTATGAGTAACACAGGCCCTCTATAAAGGCTGACCCTGAGGGCACATAGCCAGGGAAGCAGCATACACATGAAACATCTTACAGGTAAATATGTTGAAATATCTGTAGTGATACAACAGGAAAGGAAATCAGTTAAACAGATATGGATTAAACAACTAAAGGAACAAAAGTTTTTTCCAGATGTTGTATCAGTAAAAAGACTTGATATCATGAAAAATATAGCAGTAAGTACACAGCATAAATTATTTCCATGATGCACAGTAGCACACACAGATACACATACTGTACAATATATTCAACCATACCAAAGAACTAAGTGGAAAGGTGCAGCCATGTCTTATTGGAACATGTCTGAGTAAAATGAGTGCCATTGCTAGTGAAACCTGCTTGATCTCGCCCCACTCAGTCCACAGTTGGAGCCAATCTGGTGTAGATCAGTCTGAATCCATCATGGAGTTTTACGAGTCTGTCACACACACACCACTGACCTTACCCAGCCCCGTACGGGCATGAGTGAAAACTAATGCAGAAAGTAATACAGACTCTAGGTTCTCTACTCCATCTCAGCTCCATACCCTTAATCTGTCATGGTGTCAGGACCTACGGCGTTGGTGACCTCTCATGACCCCTGTGCGTGAGAACAACCGGTGACTCTTTGTTGTTCGCGGCGGTAGGTTTCACCTGCTAAAAGCCTTGCCATCAACCACCAGCCGACAAATCACTCACTCTGTGATCAACTACCTGTTCTCTGGGTCACTTGCATCCATTCATGTGCACCGAGAAATGGCCGTACTAATTCCAAACAAATGTGCCTGGTCTGGTTTGTGTCAGTGTCAGCATGCAGGCCTTTCATGAGCTCAGGTGAGTGGCCAATAAACGATTTTATTCCAGGCTTCCAGGACAGATTTATATAACGAGCAATTAAGAATGTGGGGGGTCAGAAAGCGTTAGGAGGTCAAAACACAGAAAGACACACAGATATTACAGGATTCAAACAAAGAAGGCTTAAAAGAAAACTCCAAGCACAGCAATAATGCTGCAAACTAAGGAACTGTAGCAAATTAATGAGGTGATTCAGAGATCATTCTGAATAACAAGACGCCTTCCACAGACACGCACTGTAATATCACCATTTGTTACGGCTAAAAAAATTGAAAATGATGAGAAGACATTTTTTCCTGTTTTAAATTAAAACCAGGAGGGAGCGTTTAGGCAATA